CAAAAAAAAAAAAAAAAAGAAAGACTGGCCTGCCCTGTCTGTCCCACCCTTCCTGCTTCCACACTGTGATAAGCTGCCACCAGGTATGAGTTCCCCTTTTGACCCTGCGTGTCCTGCACCCACATTCCCCAACCTGTCACAGCCTCTCTCAGATCCTCCATCCACTGCCTGGTGCTTGAACCTGGAAAAGGTCCTTCATTCCTGCTACAGAGAAATCAGCTTCCCCTCCAAGGGAGGAGTTCCTGGATATCAGAGCCCAGGTGTGCATGGAATGCCTTTTGCAGCCTTTGCATGGTTAACTGCAACCTGAGCATCCTCCTCCAGGAAGCCTTCTGCCACCTCTCCTACTGGGTCAGTCACTGGTTACAGGGTCTTACGGTTCCATATATGCTTCCTGCATGGTCCCCCTTGTCACCACAGGTACTTTACACTTGCTTGTGTGATTACTTAACAACATTTGTGTCCCCACCAAGTGGTGAGATATGCGAGGGGAGCACCTGTGCCTATATTTGTTCAGTACTGAATTCCCAGCACATTGCACACAGAAAAGACTGTTCAAATTTTAAAATGAGGGTTTAGGAACGGTGCGCTCTGGCTCCCCCTCATGGCAGCAACTGGTACTGCATAGCCGGCACCGAGCACATCCTCCCACCTCGGGTCTTCCCCAAGACTGACGTCCCTCCTCTCCCTGTTGACCTCACTTGACCTCAGCTACCCAAGTGTAACAAACAAAAGGACCTTATGGTGCAGCTAGGGGACCGGGGAGGCGGGCCAGGTCCCTGGGACTTAGGTTGTCCCCATGGCTGATAGAGTATCATCTCTGGGACCTAGACCCACCAGAAAAGCTGTGGCAGAATCTAGGAGTTGTCATCCATGAGGACAAGGTCGTGGGCACCAGGTCATGAGAACGGCCAGTCCAGTCTCGGGCCCTCTTCGTCATGCTTCTCACACCAATGTCACTCCAGAAGATTGACAGGACTCCAGTTCCCTCCGTACTCTTACCTCCGGACCCACCTTCGGAAAAGCCCGGAGTCCAGGGGGCGCTACTCCTCTTACTGCCAATCCCATTCCCAGATCTCCAACGAGGCCCAATACCTCCTAGACCCAGGTTCTTGTCATATAAGCCTCCAGGCCCGGCGTCCCAGGGGGGCTTGAGGCAGACCACGATAGCGTGCGGACCAGCCCAGGGGTGACAAAGGGTCAACTTGAACCAGGCTCTGGGCCCCCAGAGCAGGGTCTACACTCCCCGTCTACACTTTCTTGCCTCCTCCTCTCACATCTGCCCCCCGACCCCTAACACTGTTCTCCTGGGAGTCACCACAGCCTGTCTTCGAAGTGTTAAACACAACAGCCACTTGGGACTGAACTGCTTGGCTTCCCGCTCTCTGCCTGCTGCCTGCTGCTCCTGTTGGGTCTTTGTTAGTTTTTTTTCCCTTTGTCTCACCCTTAAATATGTCAAGTCCCAGCAGTTGGGACTTGGGACCCCTCCCAGAAGCCATCTCACCCCCGTGGCCTCAATTGCCCAGTTCTGCTGACAAAGCCCTCATTTCTGTTCCCAGCTCCAGCCTCAGACCAGGGATCCCACCGCTTCCTGGAGGCCACACCCGAGACATGCTCTGGCCTCCCACATCCACTGAGGCCCCCCGACCCTGGCCAAATCATCACCCCCAGATGCCCCTCCTCCCTGGTCCTGTACAGGGCAGGCCCATCCCCTCCCTCCTTACCCAGCCAGACCCCAGGGGCTTGTCCTGCATGCTTCCCTCCCGCACGGCCCTTCAGCTCCAGAACCCATCCACCCAGCTTCCAGAGTGGCTCTGTCAGCCTAGCCCTGTCCTGCTCCAACTCTGTCCTCACCAACCCAGGCCCCTGCCCTGGCTTCCCCCTGGGCTCCTTCTAGTCCACCCTCCTCATAGCGACAGAAGGATCCTCCTAGAGCCTAAACCTGACCCCATTCCTCCCTTGCACAGAACCCTTCCTGGCTCCCCATACTATCAGGCCAGGAGCTGGGCTCTCAGCCTGGAGGTCCTGGACTCTGCTATCTTGTTTCATCTCTACCATAGCACCCCCAGTGCCTGGTACCTACTATGCCCTTGCTTGTGCTTTGCCCTCTGTCTGGAATAGCTTTCCTTCTGCACTTTACCCAATTATCTCCTTCAGATGTCATTCTCACATCACATATCTCCTCTTCCGGAAGCCCTCCCTGAACACATCCTAGGTTGAGTCAGGCACCTCTTCTGGACTATCACAAACCCCAAAGCTTTTCTCAGCACCACACCCCTGGTGACCCTGGGCTATCATTGTCTGGAGAAGTGTCTCTCTCCCAAGAGACATTAGGGTCCCTGAGAGCAGGACTCAGAGCTGTCTGGGTTACGACAGCACCACGCAGCACAGGGCATGCTCAGAGTGGATGCTCAAGGAATGTCTGTTGTCTGGATGGATGACTGTCCTCAGACCAAACCAAAGGGGTCTCTCCCCAGAGGGGACATTCCCCAACTCCAGGCCCTGCACGATTCCCCCAACCTCCACAGACAGAGACAAGGGCAAGGGTCCAGGCCCAAGCTTAGAAAAATAGGACTTTCTTGTTGCGCCCTGGTGTTCCCGACACCCTCCCCATCAGTTTTAAAAACCGAGAGCAATTTGGTGAGTCTGAGGCCAGGTCCCATGGATTGTCCAATCTTGCTGTCCCTGGGGCCCGAGGAGCCTTAGAGGGGGCACCTGGCTAGGGTCCCACAGGTTCGTGGCTGGGTCCCCAGGACTCGCAATCCAGCTGGACCACGGTGTGGGCCTTGGATGCCATGGGCTCTGGAACCGGCGGCGTGGGCGTGGGGCCCAGGGCGCCGTTGGTCTGGGAGCAAACGCTGCTGACCGGTGCGGGCGTCTTGGCCTTGCCGGGGGGCTGGCCCCCATGCACCTTGTAGCGCATAAGCAGCACAAAGATGAAGACCAGTACCGAGGCTACGATGACACCACCCAGCGCGATGATCATCGTGCCGCCCAGGAAGGGCGCGTGCGGTGCCCCGCACGGCCGCAGCGCTGGCTCGGTGGAGAAGCGGGCGCAGCCCACCGGTCGCGTGGCCGTCAGCCCTGTGGCGCCATCCTCGTACACAGCGAGCACACACAGGTCGTAGGTACGGCCCGACGCCAGGTCTGTCAGCAGGAAGGAGCGGCTGTCTGCTGGGATCATCCTGGAGGGGCAGGCAGGTGGCGGTCAGGTCTCTGGTGGCCCAGTGCCCACCCTGAGCTCCCCCCCGCCCACTGGTCTGCTGCCTCATTTCATTCTAGTCCACTGAGTTCCCTCCAATTACCACCCCAATTCCCTTGGGTCTGACACCCCTCAGCCACCTGACTGATATCCCTCTGGTCTGTTAGCCAATTTCACTCCCACCCCGCCCCACTTCCCCATGGCCCGCCACCCAAGTCCCCAGGTCGATTTCCCTCTAGGCGCAAAACATCATCATTTCCATCTAACCAGTTGCTGGAGTTCCCTCCAGGCCCACTCCCCAAGGCCCCTCTGCTCTACGGCCCGATTTCTCTACAGCCCACCACTTGTGTTCTGCTCCTGTTTCATGCTATACCCAACAGCCACGCCCCTCTTGCACTGTCACTCAATTTCCCTGCTGGCAGTCTGGCTTCCCTCTAGCTTCCCTGTCCAATCCTACCCTAGTCCTCTGCCCGACTCACTCTGGCCCCATCACCCATGTTCCCTCCAGCCCGGCTGCTAGTCCTGCCCAAGTTTGCTCAAACCATGTCGGATTTCCCTCTGACCTAAGCCACTTGTCTTCTAGCCGTCATCCAATTTTCCTCCAATCTTACTCCGAATCTCCACCAAGACCTTCACCCATTTCCTTCTGGTTCCTCTGACTTCCCTCTAACCTATGACCAATTTGCCTTTTCCAGCTGCCTGATTGTTTCAAGTAGACAGCTAGAATTCTCTCCAACCTAACCACTGATTTCCCTATACCCTTCTAACCTGCCAATAAGTTTTCCCCTGGTCCCACTGCATTATTATTACACCAATAGTCTGCTTTCCAGTGAGTCCCATCCTCTGATTCCCTTTTCATAAATTAATGAGCCTGTCACCACTGCTCTTTTTCTTCCTGTTGCCTTTCTTTCCAACTCTGTCACCCAATTCCCTTTTATCTCTGTTGCCTGGTTTCGATTTATCTTTTTCTTTCCCATTTCCTTTTATCCCTACCACCCAATTCCACTATGTTTCCTTTGTAGCTGGGCACCCTGTTGGAGATTTATCCTTGTTTTACAAGGTTCTATTCCTAAACTGCTTTAATCAAAAGGTACAGGGAACTCCAAGATTGCCTGTGGCTAGGACTCGTGTGATTTTCAGGGGTGGGTCTTCCATGGAATCTACTCAGTAATGTCACCTGAGGAAGGGAGTAGAATGAAGTCATTGGGTTTCCAGGACTGAAAAGGAAGTCAAGTGGCCATCTGTTGAGGTGTGGGCCCCAGGGGAGGGAAGGACATTCAGGTACTGAGTTTCCTTGGTCCAGCCTGGCAGTGGGCACAGGCAGTAACCCCAGCTGTCCATGCAAGGCTGAACTTTGGGAAGAGGTGTGAGTAGCACCCGGGGCAGCAGCCACCACTACTGACCACACGTGGTTACAGTAGATGTACCAAGTGCTCTGTGATCTAGGGGCAGAAGTTGTACTGACCCACCTCTTGGAGTGTGTAAACGCCAGATTTTGTGTTTGCCACCCCCAAGAGAGGCAAACTGGGTATTCTTGTTCACCTGGTAAGTGGAGCTCGAACTAGGTTGGATACAAGATAAAAAATGTAGATGGCACAATATTAGAACTCCAAACATGTGGAGCGGTTCACATGGCACAAGCCCAGTCTCCAGTTAACCTCCTCCTGCAATGTTCCTTTCCACCTCTGCTGGATTTCCTTTGTACCACGGCTGCCTCATTTCATTTTTTCTGGGACCCCTGTGCTTTCGTGTTAGATCTCCTTTGCTTCCTGCAGCCTGACTTGTATCTAGTTCTGTCATCTGAAAATCCTGTTTTTTCTCTTTTTACCTTTACTACTTAAATTTATTTTTATTCCCTTATCTACCCCCCTCCACCTGCCCATTAGCTTTTTACTCTTCTGGCCTGATTACTTTATACCCTTGTTGCCTGGTTTTCTTTTTATGTTTGTTACTATTTACTCTTGGTGTCTGATTTCTTTTTACTCAAGCAGTCTGATTTCTTTTATCATTTTGTTTGATGTTTTTTTAGCCCCGTAGCCTGATTTATTTTAACAATTGCTAATTTATTTTGTCCTGACTGCCTGACTTGTTTTTACCACTGCTGTCAGATTTCTTTTGCTTTTGCTGTCTGATTTCCTCTGTAACTTGGTGGCATCCTTTCTCAGCTGTGCTTCACTCTGGGTATTAGTTAGGTGGACTCCAGTGCTCCCACCTCTCATTTTCCCACCCAAGCTACTCCACTGCCTGGACTCTGCACCTGTAGACGAGGATGTCATCCGCTGAGCTGTTGTACTGGATCTGGTACATGCGGATGCCTGGGATAGGCTGCTGATCTGGCCACTGGACGAGCGCAGCCGTGGCCCCATGCTCAGTCACCTGGACGCCACGATCGGTAGAGGGTCCAGTGTCAGCTGCCTTGGCAGAGGCAGAGGCAGCCGAGGGCGGGGTGAGGGCATCGGGATCCCCGTCCCGCGGGGGATCACAGCTGGTGCTATTAGCTAGCTGTGGGGGTGGCGGGGGACCCACGGTCAGCTCAACAGCAGCTGTGGCCTCGCCAGCTGCATTGGCCGCAATGCAGGTAAAGATGCCGCCATCGCCTGGCTCGGTGACCAGCAGCTCGAGTGTCCCATTAGGGAAGGCGCGAGCACGGCTCGAGTTGCCCAACAGCCGGCCCTGGGGTGAGACCCAACGCACTCGGGGCTCTGGGTCCCCCACTGCCCGGCAGCGCAGGGCAGCTGGCCGACCCGCGGGTACCGCCAGGGGCGGCGAGCGGTGAGTCACCACAGGCGGCTCGCACACAAACTCCTCCTCGCCCACGGCCCAGAAGTAGCGGCCACCCAGAGCCGGTGGGGAGGCGCAGGCCTCGAGGTCGTCCTCCCGTGCCAGGCGCCGCAACCACACCAGCTCGCAGTTGCAGTGCAGAGGGTTCCCGCCAAAGGCCAGCACCAGGGCGGAGGCCGGTGAGCCGCGGGGCCTGGCCAGCAGGGGCAGGCGGGAGAAAAGTGGGTCGGGCGGGATGGTGGTCAGGCGGTTGGAAGTCATGTCCAGCCGCGCTAGTTTATGCAGGCGGGAAAAGGCGCCGGCGGGCACGGAAGCCAGCAAGTTATGGTCGAGGCCCAACGTGTTGACGTTGCCTAGGCGGCCCAGAGCCTCCCAGGGCAGCTGCTCCAGGTTGTTGTAGGAGAGATCTAGGTCCTCAAGGGTCTCAGCACAGTCGTCCAGGGCACCGGCCGCCAGGGCTGCCAGCTGGTTGTTGCTCAGGATGAGATGGCGCAAGTTGACCAGGCCACGCAGCTGGCCCTCGCCCAGCGAGGTCAGCCGGTTGCCATCTAGGTGCAGGGCGCGCAGGGCACGCAGGTCAGCAAAGGCGCCGGCTGCCACATGGCGGATGGTGTTGCGTGACAAGCTCAGATGCAGCAGGCCTGTCATGTTGGCCAGGTCACGGCGGCGCACAGCTGCGATGAAATTGTCTGCCAGCCGCAGCTCGGCTGCCCGGCGGTCCAGCGAGGGTGGCACGAACAGGAGGCCTGCCCCTGGGCACAGCACGCTTAGGGGCAGTGACTGTGTCTGGCAGCGGCAGCGGCGGGGACACGGGCTGGGTGTGGCTGGCTGGGGTGGAGACGAGGCGGGGGCCAGCGGCAGCAGGCAAAGGAGCAGCGGGAGGACGGCCATTGCGGGCAGGGGTGGCCTGCAGGGAGGAGGGGAGGTGTTAGGGCAGCCTGAGACCAGAACAGGGGCCCCACAGGTGTCGGGGTGGTCTGAGACCAAGAGAGATCACAGTGGGCTGAGAGCAGAAGAGTCAGTTGGTCACAGAGGGTCAGAGAGGAGAGGTCAGACAGGATCAAAAGCCAGGAGATGGTCACAGACTCAGAGAGATGTGTCGTGGAGGGGCAGAGAGAGCAGAAATGAAAATGGCCAGAGGGAAGGGAGGGGATTAAAAATAGAGAAGCTGGGTTTGGTGGCTCACGGTGGCTCAGCCTGTAATCCCGCGCCTTGGGAGGCTGAGGTGAGTGGAATGCCTGAGCCCGCGGGTTCGAGACCTGCCTGGGCAACTTGGCGAGACCTCATCTCTACAATAAATCAAAATGAGCCGGGTGTGGTAGCGCACGCCCGTAGTTCCAGTTACTTGGAAGGCTGAGGCAGAAGGATTGCCGGAGCCCAGCAGGTCGAGGCTGCGGTGGCCGGGAGCGGCCACTGCACTCCAGTCTGGGCGACAGAGTGAGACTCCCACTCAAAAAAATAAAATAAAATAAAAATAGTCAGAGAATAGGAAGGATGGTCATGGTGGGTAGAAGGTAAGCCAGAGATCTTTAAGCGTAGTCAAAGAAAGATGGTCAAAGATGCCCATGGAGAGATGTCAGTGGTTGGGATGGTAGACATGATTACAAGTGGCCAGGCATGACCAGAGAGGAGAGGTGGTCAAGAAGAGGAGAGGTGGACAGAGAGGTGCTTATGGGTAGTCAGATCCAAGAGAGATGGTTAAAGATGGTCAGGGAGAGAAGTGGTTAGAAAGAGCCCAAAGCCAGCGAAGTGGTCAGGAAAGAGGAAAGGTCAGACAGGTCAGAGTCCGTCGGAGACCAGGACCACCGTCAGGATGAGGCTTGTGGGGAGAAGTCATTAGAGAGAGGAAAGGAAGCCAGAGATGTTCAAAATGATCAGAGGCCATCAATGAAGAGAGATGGGCGGAGGAGAGGAGGCCAGGAAAGGCCAGAGGCGGTCAGGTGGCTGTAGACTGGAAGTGAGGGTCAGGGTTGGTAGGAGGGCAAGAGAGATGGTGGAAGATGGGCAGAAAAAGGAAAAGGTGTGCCCGGGAAACCGGAAAGAGAGATGGACAGAGACAGCTGGAGAGAAGGTGGTAGACAGAGACGTTCAACAATGATTGGAGATGCTCACAGCCCGAGGTTTTGAGTTAGAGAGGACAGAGGGTGAGAGAGCAGTGGACAGAGATGTCAAAGATGATCATTGAGAGAAGCAGCCGACAGAGGTGGCCAGAGAGAGAAGCTGTGGACAGGCCTGTCAAAGATGATCAGAGAGAGGAGGAGAGGTGAACAGAGATGGCCATTGAGAGAAGTGATGGCCAAAGGTGGACAGAGAGAGGAGCAGGGGGGAGAAGGGTCAGAGGTGATTAGAGAGAGGGGAGGTGAAGAGAGATGGTCACTGAGAGGAGCAGTGGACAAGCAGGGACGGTCAGACAGGACAGACAGTGAGAAGCTGTAAGGGCTGGGGAGGTTAGAGACCTGGAGATGCCATCGACTGGGGGTGGGGAGATCAGAGAGGGCTGGTCAGTGTCCAGACAATGCTTGAGGCAGAGCAGGTGCTGGAGGCTGACCCACAGAGGAAATCCCAAGGGTGCCAAAGGGGACCTGGCCCTCACTGACCCCCTCCCCCTGGCCACAGAGCTCCTCCCAAGTCACTCCCCACCCACCGTGAGGTCTTTCAGCCTTACCTGAGCTGGAAGCTGCCCCAGGGAGCAGAATCCTCAGGCTCCAGAGGAGTCAGAGGTCAGGGCTCTGGAGGGGATGCCTGGTCATGCCTTTCCCGTCACGAAGCCTTCTGTAGAGGGACTGTCTGCTGTGTCTCAGCTCAAGTCTGTGGCAATGGAGTCTCCAGAACGTAATACTTGGGGTCCCAGAACCCCAAATATTGGGCCTCTAGGGCCCAATTTTAGGGGTCCAGTTTGGGTTGTTCAGGGCCAGGGTCTCCCAGCTTAGTCCTGGGATGCTAAACAGTCAAACGGAGTTTAGGGTCTGAGTCCCAAGCTCAGTTTGGGATCCAATACTGGGATTCTGCACTCAGATACTGGGGTGCTGAGTCAAGATCTGGAGGTCTCTAGCCCCAGATTTCAGCATTCAGGTCTGCAGCAAGGACTTCAGGCTCAAACTCAGATTCAGGCCCCTTGGAATCCCACAGTTCAGATCTTGGAATCTGAGGCCTAAATCCCAGGGTTCAGGTCCCAAATAGTGGGTTCCAGTGTATAGATTTGGGAATCCAGTCCCAGGTTTCAAGGTCCCGGGCACAGAATTTGGAGTTCAGCTCCGGATTTGAGGTTTTAGATGTCAAGTCTTGGGGTTCCGCTCCAAAGCTGGAGGTCTATGTTCCAAATGATGGGGTTCAAGCTCCAGATCTTGGGGTCCCAGCGACCGACGTGGGGATTCCAGCCCCATAGACTGGGGCTCAGGCTCCAGGTCTTGGAGTTCCACGGCCAGACCTCGGGGTGCTGGCCCCAGATCAGGGCGCCA